CTGTCCCATATTAGAACTATCAGCTTTAATTCCTTTATTAATAAGTACAAAAATAATTTCTAGGTTATTGCCGCTGGGTTCCAAATCTTTTTAATGACAGATGGTTCACAAGTAGGGAATGAAAAAATATGCCCAGCAGTGTTAAATATGACACCATTATGCTTCCCAGTGATTTTGTCGTGTCATTGTCTTACATTCACAGGATGATCATAGGTTTTGAAAAATCAAATAGTAATAACATAAAGGATTACATCTGAATTCGTTAGCCCAGGATCTTAAAATTGTCTCACTTGTTCTTTAATGCACACTACAGGAAAGATTCATTAGGCCTGTTTCCCATGTCTCCCTCCCAAAAATGAGTATTTCAGGAAAACAACATGAACTCATGTTTGGGTTTTGTCTACTCATACTAACTTGGGGGAGAAAAAGAACAGACCCAAAGAATTGTTCAAACAGGCTTTAAGACTACATCTTTTTAGATTATTTTTTTAGTAATTTCTAACTGTCATAATTAAAATTTTCGAAGGAATTAACACTTGTTTTTGCTGACGTTAATTTCACTTTAAAACGAGCAAACAGTAAGAACTTTATTTTTTATATTAACATGCAAAGTCTTTGCCTTTTTTAAACTATTATGAAGCTATCGGAACTAATAAACTAAATTGGCTTAAACGTGATTACACATTCAGTGAGTTCTGGATATGTCTTTGTGGTATACACGGGGAACATGACTGGAGTAATTTAGCTTCTGCTGTACTTTACACAGCAGGGGTGCCTCAGTAGAGTTCGACTTCCCCTCTTCTGGTAATTTTAGTTGCCTAACTTCTTCTTATCATGAACTTGTGTAATACTGTTGCTTTTTGGCTTTTTCAGGCCTCCTCTTTTCTCCCCACAACCTTGGTAATATTTCACGGAACAAAAATATCCCAACTCCTTTCTTCACTGGTGATTGTAGGTGATGTAGTTCATGTAACCGAGTTGAAAATACAGACTCCCCAAAGTTGGTAAACCAAAGACTGGCATAAAAAATGAGAAGATCCTGTGATAAGAAAGCAAAAAAAACCCAACATGGTAAGCTTTGGACTAGCCAGGTCAAGGCAACATGAGATGCAGAGGGACACCCATATAAACTGATTGGCACGATGAAAACACAGTTCAGAAATTTCATGAATTTCATGAATTCAGCTCTTGTCATCATCAGGTAAAACCTGATGGTTCCTTAGCCTTGCAAGAGAATGAGAATACTCTGTGGGCATGTGGATAGTGGAGAAAAGGGTAGAAAGAGACTTGATATAAATGCATGCCCACTGTAAATAATTTCACAGGTGATCCTGTGGGGGTAGAGTGGAAGAAAGCCATTTACAGGCTTTTAAATAATTGGAATTAAATGGTACTTAAATCGTCAGAACATCAACTCACCAGCTAATCCTGGAGGTGCTCACATTTTCATCTGCAATTTCCCCCAGTCACCTCAAGTTCTGGCACACACAGGGGCACCTCAGCCTTGTCTCTGTTGAGCACTGTCACCATGTAAACTCCATCAGAATCCGTAACAAAGGTATTTCTCACTTTTTTTCTCTTGATCTGAACATTCCCAACATGCCTTGCTGAATCTACCATGGGAGGTATGCTACTGCTTTCTTTTTACCCTCCTGCTCACTTGCCAAGGGTGAAGCTGAGGGGACTCTCACTCACATCTTTCACTTCTGAGGGTGTCCTTACTACTAGGCTGGTCTTCTGCCTCTGACGGATTTAAGACAGACATAGTAAATGAAAGTTTTGAGCACTGAAACTTAACAAACATACACACAGACATTCCCTCAAATAGCCTGCAGCCTTGTGCATCCTTCTGTGATGTGGAAACTGTGGTATGAGTTCAAAATGGGAAACATCAGACACCATTTGTAAAAGGAAGTTCTTTTGGTTTTGCCTACTGAAAATATTTGTACAGAGCAAATGCTTAAATCCTTAGAAGCAAGCAAGCACTACCACACATACAGAAACTATGGCTTAATATATGCAGTGGTAGGCATCCATACGCCACCCCCTCTCTATCTTAATTTAGTTCATTAAATATTGAACATGTAAGTTTAAAATTCTAATCTGTCTCTTCATTTATAGTGCTATATTAAGGACATTATCCAAGGCTCTTTTCTAAATATTGTCAATAACAAAGCTGATAAAGAAATCGTTAGTACTGACCTAGCTAGCCCCTTTGAAGAAATACCTATTATCTTTTCACTGGAAAATAGTATTTTTATGACAAGATAATTTTGAAGGTGCCAGCAGGAATAGAGCAGTCATAATGTAAATTCTAGAGCTATACAGTGTTGCTCCATTATAGGGTAAGAAAAGCAGAAGGTCTTACATTAAATTAGTGTTGACAGACTTAGGAAATGGCACTCGGGCATTGTTTTCATTCTTAAAGATTCCTCTCCTTTTGCAGATTTAAATAGCGTGGTCATAGGATAAAAGTTTGTCCTAATAACTCTACATCTTCCAGCTGACACCAAAAATTTTAAAGACAGCCTCTTGTTCTGCCGATGTAGCGCTGAGTGACCCTGACATTTCTGCCGTGCCAAACTGCATTTAAAATGCCGGAGAATTTCCAACTAAGCGAAAGGAGACGTTTGGACCCCTCTTTTGTTAAGATTTAAATGATTCGCAAAGAAAAAGGCAAAACCGATGCAGGCAACAAACTGGGAGCTTTATTCTGCTGCATTTATCAATTGTCTTGACTCCAGGTAATCTAGGAGAAAGCAGATGCCGGCACTGGGGAGCATTAGGCAGAACTACGATGGAACCATTAATAGGGAGGGGTGTCTGAGTGCTGGGGCTTATCCAAAGCGGCCACTGTCACATGTCCTCTTTAACTTTCCAGAACAGGTTTATTTTTAGTAATGAGAATTGTAGGACGATAAAATGGATGTAAAGGCAAAGTGCATTACGATTACATCAGCTTTCGAGATGAAGTTGTGACTCAGTATGTGAATTGGAAAGGCGAGCTTCTACTCTCATTTATATCTGTGCAGCTCTTCTGAAGCTGGTGAACTATGTAGGTGTTACACTAGAATATCACCCAAGAGTTTAATAATCATATATGACTACATGAATCTGACAGTGGTATTTACACTGACAGTTTGTAAGCCTTGCATGATACGCTTGTTCTGCATGCAGAATTTAAAAATACCTTCCCACACCCTTTCACATTAATGATTAACTCAGCCTTTATGAATTTCCCCAGGAAAATATCTTAGTCACATCTCAGGGAAGTGCCAGATCAGAATTAGGTAATATGCCTGAGATATATATATATAAAATTAAGTATTCTGTTAAAGAACAATGGTATCGATCTTCTGTAGCAAATATTATCTTCACCTAACCAGGATATGCAGTCTTTATCTATTAAGATGCAAGTTGTGTGATTCACAGAGTCGTGTCAACGGCATTTGATGTCAAACAGAGATCAGTGAATAATTTCCAAAGGGCTGCACGTTCTGCTAAACAGAGATGTGACACTTGGAAAGGTTCCTTTGTGGTTGGACTCTTTCAGTCCTAGAACTTTTAACATAGATTTTCAAGCAAATACCTGAATAAATGCACTTCAGGATGTCCCCAAATCCCATCTTCTGGTAAAAGTGCTTGTGACTCAGTCTTCATGCCATCCATGTTATAAAATAACCACAGGACTTTCTAACAACTGCAAATGGTCTCAGTAGTGCTCGTTAATGATTTTAGACATAAAAATATGCTCATTGTATGCTTGATTTTCATTTTTCTATTTTTTCATACTTAAAGATCCATGGGTCAGGCAGTGATTCATTGTAAGAGATTATTTAGATTCCTTATATTGTAAGATCAATTTGTCTCCTCATTTTTTTTATTTGTTCTCTACCTTTCTCAGGTTTTTTTTCCTTTTCTTCCTATTTGGTCATTTCACATCCATTTTTCTCATACACACTACTCTCTTCCTATTCATGTTTTTAAACCTCTGTATAGGCGCTCTCCTTCCTTGTGCCCCTTTCAGCCCTCTCCCCGTTTTTTCCTTCCAAGCTGCCCGGTTCTGCCATTTCTCCCATTTGCCATTCTTGGCTGACAGTTCCCAGATGCCCACCCATCATTAGGCTTCAGAGTCATTCCCCACCAGCCATCTTCCAACCGGTGGCCAGCTTTCGGGTACGAGGCTCTGCCATATCCATGCAAAACCCGGGACCCACGGGATAATTTGAGGTCGGGAGGGACCGCAGGAGCTCCCCCGCAGCGCCTGGGCAGCTCTCCCAAGGCCAATACGGCGTTTTCCTTTGACGAACAGGCCTCACGGAGGAGGCCCGCCATTTCCCACAGACCGTTGCCCGGGTAACCGCTGGGCGCCGGAGGGCGCCTCCCCCCCCCCCCCCCCGCCCCGGCG